TTGTGTTTTCTAATAAACCTGTTGGAGTATAACCTGTTGACTTGTGAATTCTGACCTTGTCCACCCCAGTCCAACACCGGCACCTCCACATCTTTGATAGAGTTGATAGGAGGAAACATTCCTTCGAATATACAGGTCAATAACTACATGCCGTAAATAACTAGAAAAAAATCTGAAGATAAAATAAGGAGACTTTGTTTCATTCATGAGTTAACAAGCTTTGGATTAACTCACCTGAAAACATTCTTGATCAGAAGGGGAATCAAGGGTTATGGGGAAAAAGGGCAGAAAAATGGATGTGAGGAATGTCAGATCAGTCATGATCCTATTGAATGGCAGAGCAAGCTCGAGGGGCCTAACAGCCTACTCCAGTCCCTATTTCTTTAGTCTTAAAAGGTGGGAGAAGCTACCAGACTTTCCATTAGCTTAAATGGACTGAAAATTGAACAGGGTGCTAGGTGATACATCCCCACCCCATTCAATTGGTTGTATGAGGTGATCCACCATATCCAAAGACAACAGCAAGGGTAACCTGTACAACTCTTTCACTCAGACACATAGCCGAATAATGATAACATTGGATAGACTGTAATTCCGGAGGCAATCCACCCAGCCAAGGACAAGGGGCAGAAATCAAAGTTGTTCAGCTGGGCAGGAATGAACAGCTAGTGGTCCAGGAACTTGGTGGGGCGAGGTCCGCTATAATCCTGCCTATCTGCAAGTACTCAATGTGTGCTCCAGGGATGAGAAAGATTGAAGTAAAATAAGTCTGTTTTTCTTCTGTGACAAGGGAAGAGTGTGAGAAAGGGGTGAGAGGCGAAGATGGAAAAAGGTGAGGATGTGGGGGAAAACCGGAGAGAGGAAGGGAAAGGGGGCAAGATAGAGATTGAGGAGGAGAAGGGTAAAAAAGAGACAATGCAGAAATTTCTTATCTCTGGTGTGTACTAAGTAATGAGGTTAATTTTAACCGAGCGGTGAAACTGATGGGTTCAGTGCAATATGTCAACTGATTTAATTCTCCATGACTGTGAAAGAAGACCTATGCTGGGTGGAATGATGAGTGTTCTGGTCAAACAAGTTTGTTTACAGATTAACGCCATAGTTTCCTTAGAGGTTGAGCTTTGTGTCCAGGAAGTGTTAGGGGAAGAATAACAAATTCAACACAATTTTTTAATATATCAAAGTAAAGCACTAACCAGTCAGTGGCACGTAAAAAACCCTGAAGGGATGTGAAAAAGTGGATGTTGAAAATAAGTTCCCTCTCATGGGAGAGATTAGGACAAGGGTCTTTACAAATAAAGGTTCTCTCATTTAGGATGTCAAATAGGACGACTGTTTTTCCCAGAGACTCGTAAGTCTTTGGACTTCCCTTCCACAAGTAGCGGTGGAGGCAGGGTAATTGAATATTTTTCAAGGCAAAGGTTAGGGTTAACAAAGCAGTCAAAGAATATTGGGGGTAGGCAGGAATGTGAAGTTGAAGCCATTGTCAGATCAGCCACAATCTTATTGAATGGTCTGCTCCTGCTCCTAACTGTATGTTCACACATGAAAAGAAATGATTAACCCATTTTCAGCAATGCTCACACAATCAATTGCAAAGACACAGAGGTTTATCTTTAATACATTTAAACATTTAACTCCCACCCAGTGTAACAAGAACCAGCTGGATAGATACACAGTGCATTGGTTTGGGAAACCAGTCCTTCAGTCATCAGCAATTTTCATAACAATACTAAAACTGGTCAATTCTACCTGAAAATGTGTAAGCAGCAATCATAATCAGTAAGTGTTTGCATCTAAAATGCCCTGTGTTTATACTTCTGTGTAGGTATATCACCAATAAAAAAATTGTCAGAGGTCTTTTAAATAAGATGCACAATACTGTGTCAGAGGATTTGATTAAATCCATGATTAGAAAAATTATGCAGTCAGCCTTTTACTTTTTAAAATTATGAGGTACAAACACGGTAGCAGGTATGTTCAGAGTGGATTTTGGTGAAATTCCTGCAGGGGCAGCAGCTTTGGGACTCACTGACATGTCTCATTGGCAACCCTACTTGATTAGAAAGTCACAGTAACATTAAATAGAGAGATCTGTAGCACACATGGCTGCAAATTTGGAAGGTGCAATGCTGGCAGGAATTGAGATAATACTGAAACTTATCCTAATTTACCTTCCTCAATTTACATTTTAGGAATATACATTTTGCACTTATGCCAGCTTTGAAGTAGCCCTTGTACTGTAATCTACATGACAGAATATAACACTCTCATTATATAAATCTTACAAACGGGCAGCTGCTCCATCAGCCACATGTCCAGGGTTTTCACAGAACCAGTGATTGTTCCTCCTGGCTACTTCATGTAGCTAGAATTTTCAAACAGGGGACATTGCAAAGCTAGGAACTACTAGGCTATCATCATTATTGGGAAGCTGCTTGATGGGTTTCTAAGAAATGTCTCAGCAAGGATGAATTTCAGAACTAGGGGGCATATTTTTTAAGGTGAGAGGAGAGAGATTTTAAAAAGCAATGGGGGTAATTTCTTAGATAACAAGGTGTAGAGCTGGATGAACACAGCAGGCCAAGC